CTTCTCGTCCTCTTTTTGACCTCCCAAGATGCAGAAGTATTGCAGGAAGGCAGATAACTGTACAGTAACTGCACTAAGGAAAGCTGAAGACATAGGTTTGCAAAGCCTTCAGCTAAAGACCACTGACAGAACATCGCAGGTTCCTCAAAAGGTACAAGTTTCTTCATGCAGAAAGAATATTCCCAGGCTACAATTCATATGCAGGTTTCAGCTGTAATATAAACTTCTGACACATACGGAGGACAGGACAGAAGAGGTGGGAAAGGACAAACTTCTACTAAAGTTATGTGCTTCTCCTCAATAAAGCTGATTCCTTCAGCTGTAAGCTGGGTTTCAGGTAGAAGGAACCTCTACCTGTGTTTTTCCAGGAGTAAGTCTGTAAAACAGAACTGGAAAACTTGCTACAAATCCCACACCTTACTTGGTACCTACTTCATCGCTACTTTTGAAACAGCTACTTTTGTGTATATTTTGTTGCTTCAGTACGAGAAATCGGAATACTTCCAAGTAAAGCAAGAGTGTTGTACTTCTAATTGCAAACCCATTCTTATCAAATGTACATGCATACTAGGGACACAATACCACAAATAAACTGCAGTATAAAAATCAGCAAGGAACCATTTCAAATTCTGCAACAGGTGGGGAGTGTCTCCCCTCTACAGAGGTCACCAAATGGGACGCAGACAGGACATCATGTACGATGAACTTGGTGAGCATTTCTGCACAGGGAAAAAAAAAAAAAAGGCAAGGGTATTTTATAACGATAGGTTTCTCAGATGAACTATCACAAGTGCACTGCTCTTCATCTTTAAACACATGGCTCCTTCTATGCCCTCAGAAAGATAAAAGATTCCATTAGAAGTTACCCTGTGCCATGTTTATAACTGATCTAGGAAAAGGAACATGTTTACATTAAGTTAATCTAGCACCGATTTCTACTAAATGTACCATATCTTTCAAACTAAAGAATGCAGGCTCCTTTCCCAGATTGGTGTTAATTATCCACATGGTATTTTAAAAATTCTTTTAAACTTCTGAGACACTGGACAGTAGATGATTAAAGCTGAACTACAACTAAAAACTGT